GCATCCGACGCTTTGCATTGCACTTGGTGATGTAAGGCTTGGATATACAGTTGCAAGAAAAAAAGTATGTGAACCCCTTGGGATTACGTGGAGTTTTGCATGAATTGGGCATAAAATGTGCTCTGAACGTCATCTAAGTCACAACAATAGAAGAACACAGTCTGCTGAACATAATACTACACAAACATTAGATGTTGCCATGGTTTAATTGCACATAACATGTAAACATTCACAGTGCAGGGAGGAAAAAAGTATGTGAACCTTTGGACTTAATAACTGGTTGACTCTCCTTTGGCAGCAATAACCTCAACCAAACGTTTCCTGTAGTTGCAGATCAGACCTGCACAACGATCTGGAGTCATTTTGGACCACTCCTCTTCACAAAAACTGTTTCAGTGTAGCAATATTCTTGGGATGTCTGGTGTGAATCGCTCTCTTAAGGTCATGCCACAGCATTTCAATGGGGTTGAGGTCAGGACTCTGACTGGGCCACTCCAGAAGGCGTATTCTGTGCTGTTGCAGCCATTGTTTTGTTGAATTACTTGTATGCTTTGGGTCATTGTCCTGTTGCATCACCCATCCTCTGCGGAGCTTCAGTTGGCGGACAGATGGTCGTACGTTTTCCTGCAAAATGTCTTGATAAACTCTGGAATTCATTTTCCCATCAATGACAACAATCCGTCCAGGACCTGAGGCAGCAAAGCAGCCCCAAACCATGATGCTCCCTCCGCCATGTTTTACAGTGGGGATGAGGTTTTGATGTTGGTGTGCTGTGCCTTTTTTTCTCCACACATAGTGTTGTGTGTTCTTCCTAAACAACTCAATCTTGGTTTCATCTGTCCACAGTATATTTTGCCAGTAGTGCTGTGGAACATCCAGGTGCTCTTTTGCAAACTTCAAATGTGCTGCAATCTTCTTTTTGGACAGCAATGGCTTCCTCCGTGGTGTCCTCCCATGTACTCCATTCTTGTTTAATGTTTTCCTTATTGTAGATGTGTCAACAAAAATGTTAGCATGTGCCAGAGATTTCTGTAGGTCTTTAGCTGACACTCTGGGATTCTTCTTTACCTCATGCAGCATTCTGCGCTGTGCTCTTGCAGTCATTTTTACAGGACGACCGCGCCTAGGGAGAGTAGCAACAGTGCTAAACGTTCTCCATTTGTAGACAGTCTGTCTTACCGTGGACACATGAACATCAAGGCTTTTGGGGATACTTTTGTAATCCTTTCCAGCTTCATGCAAGTCAACAATTCTTGATCGTAGGTCTTCTGAGAGCTCTTTTCTGCGAGGCATGGTTCACATCAGACAGTGCTTCTTGAAACCAGTAAACCCAAAACAGGTGTGTGTTTTTTAACGGCAGGACAGCTGTCAGCAACACATCCAATATCATCACACTGATTGGAGTCAAGGTTGGCTCACTCCTGGCTCCAATTAGCTCTGGGAGAAGTCATTAAGCTAGAGCCTCACATACTTTTTCCTCCCTGCACTGTGAATGTTTACATGTTATGTGGAATTAAACCATGGCAACATCTAATGTTTGTGTAGTATTATGTTCAGCAGACTGTGTTCTATTGTTGTGACTTAGATGACGTTCAGAGCACATTTTATGCCCAATTCATGGAAAACTCCACGTAATCCCAAGGGGTTCACATACTTTTTCTTGCAACTGTAGCTGCTCAGCCATGAAACCCATTCCATGAAGCTCTCTATGCACTGTTGTTGTGCTAATCTGAACGCCACAGCGAAGTTTGGAGGTCTTTAGCTATTGACCCTGCAGACAGATGGTGACATCTGTGCACTTCAGCATATGCTGACCATGCTCTGTCATTTTACGTTGCCTACCATTTCGTGGCTAAGTTGCTGTTGTTCCCAGTTGCTTCCACTTTATTATAATACCACTAACAGTTGACTGTGGAATATTTAGTAGCAAGGAAATTTCACGAATAGACTTATTGCACAGGTGGCAACATATCCCGTTACCACGCTTGGATTCACTGAGCTCTTGAGAGCGACCCATTCTTTCACAAATGTTTGTAGAAGCAGTCTGCATGCCTAGGTGCTTCATTTTATTCACCTGTGGTCATGGAGGTGATCGGAACACCTGAATCCAATGATTTGGAGGGGTGTTCCAATACTTTTGGCAATATAGTGTATTTCTAAAGATGCTATTGAAATTAAATGTCGGTAACAACCCATGTAGTCCATACATACAAAGAAACCAAAACAAATAAGTTCAGAAATTAAGTTGTTTAATAAAATGGAATGACACACATAAAAAGTATTGAACACATGAGGAAAGGGAGGTGCAAAAAGGCATGGAAAGCCAAGACACAAGCTGAAATCTATCAGTAATTAGAAAGCAATTCTATTCCTTGTCAGTGAAAATTAATGCCAGCTAGTTCGGTCTCAACTAATGGCCTATAAAAAGGTGTCTCATTACCAAGGTGTCACACAGGAAACATCTCATGATGGGTAAAAGCAAACAGCTCTCTCAAGATCTTCGGAAGTGGAAAGAACATAATTTCACCATAAACCGGCCATGACCAGGTGCTCCTCGCAAGTTTCCTGACAGAGGAGTGAAAAGAAATATCAGAAGAGTTGTCTAAGAGCCAAGGACCACTTGTGGAGAGCTTCAGAAATACCTGGAATTATCAGGTACAGTTGTTTCAAAGAAAACAATAACTAATGCACTCAACCGTCATGGCCTATATGCACGCTTGCCATGCAAGACTCCATTGCTGAAGAAAAAGCATGTTGAAGCTTGTTTCAAAATTTGTTGCACAACATTTAGACAAGCCTGTGAAATTCTGGGAGAATATAGTCTGGTCAGATGAGACCAAAACTGAACTCTTTGAATGCCATAATACACAAATGTTTGGAGGTCAAATGGCACTGCACATCACCCCAAAAACACCATACCAACAGTGAAGTTTGGAGGTGGGAACATCATGGTGTGTGGGCTGTTTTTCAGCATACGGTACTGGCAAACTTCATGTCGCTGAAGGCAGGATAAATGGAAAAATGTACCAAGACATCCTTGTTAAAAATCTGCTGCCATCTACCAGGACGATGGAGATGAAACCAGGGTGGACATTTCTAGAAGAGAAAGATCCCAAAAACAAAGCCAAGGAAACTCTCAATTGGTTTCAAAGAAAAAAAATAAAGCTGCTAGAATGGCCCAGCTAACCACCTGACTTGAATCCAATAGAAAATCTATGGAAAGAACTAAAGATCAGAGTTCATAGAAGATGCCCACTGAACCTTCAAGATTTGAACATTGTTTGTGTGAGAGAATGGGCCTTGACCTGTTCCTCGACCTGCTCCTTGACCTCTCCGCGGCCTTCGACACTGTTGACCTTCCTCTCCTCCTTGCCAAACTGCACTCCCTTGGCATCAAGGACGCTGCTCTCTCCTGGTTCTCCTCCTACCTTTCCCAACGCTCCTTCAGCGTCACCTACACTGCCACCTCCCCCTCTCTGTTGGGGTCCCCCAAGGCTCTGTCCTCGGACCCCTCCTCTTCTCCATCTATACCTCCTCCCTTGGCAACTTATTCACTCCCACGGCTTCAACTACCACCTCTATGCCGACGACACCCAAATTTACCTCTCCACCCCCCACCTCACCCCCTCATTCTCTGCCTGCATCTCCCACCTCCTAAACGACATATCAGACTGGATGTCGCTCCACTTCCTCAAACTTAACCTATCCAAAACCGAGCTCCTGGTCTTCCCCCCACCCCGTGCCCCCCCATCTTCTCCATCACTACTAACAACGCCACCATCTCTCCCACCCCACACGCCAAAGTCCTGGGTGTCACCCTGGACTCCCACCTCTCCTTCCTACCCCACATCCAACTGCTATCTAGATCTTGCAGGCTCCACCTCCGCAACATCTCCAAGATACGCACATTCCTCACCCCAGACACCACCAAACAACTCGTACACTCCCTCATCATCTCACGCCTGGACTATTGCAATTCCTCTCTCACTGGCCTACCCAAACGAGCGCTATCCCCAATCCAGTCGATCCTAAACTCAGCGGCTAGAATCCACCTCACCAACCGCTCCCCCCTCTGCCAATCCCTTCATTTGCTCCCGATTGCCCAACGCATCAAACCTACCCGTGCCCTCCGCTCCTCACAGGACCTCCTACTCTCTAGCTCCCTGGTCTCCTCCTCCCACGCTTGATTGCAGAACTTCTCCAGGACTTCCCCCATCCTCTGGAACTCCCTACCCCAATCCATCAGACTGTCGCCTACCCTCCTCACCTTCAGGCGCACCCTGAAAACCCTCCTCTTCAGGGAAGCCTACCCCAACCTCACCTAACACCCGACCTCACCTAACAACTAACCACCTCCACTCCTCCTGCCACTCCATCCCCCACAGCCATCTCCTCCTGTGCCACCTTCCCCTCCCTCCTAGATTGTAAGCTTGAAAGAGCGGGGCCCTCGAACCCCTCGTGTATTGTATTGTTACTGTCTTGTCTCATGTTCTGTCCCCCCTGCTACTGTACAGCGCTGAGCATACCCATTGGCGCTATATAAAATACTGTATAATAATAATAATGGGCCAAAATCACACCTGAGCAATGCAGGCGACTAGTTTATCCATATAGGAGGAGTCTTAAACAAAGACCAACAAAGGATTTTGTACGAAGTATTAAGTAAATTTCAGTTAGCGTGTTCAATACTTTTTCCCTTTGTCATTCCATGTTATTACCATAACTTAATTTCTGAATGTATTTGTTTTGCTTTCTTTGTATGTATGGATTGCATGGGTTATTACCGACATGTGGTGAAAATTTCATGTCAATAGCACTTTTAGAAATATATTTCCTGAGAAAAATGGTGACGTGTTCAATACTTATTTTGCCCGCTGTATATTTGTAAAACTTGTATATTTTAGTCCTGACCATAATGAAAAAATATGTACAACACAAGTACTATATACATTCTCTATAAAATATATCATTTTATTATTCATTATTTATTTATATTGCAGATTTCTCAGAAAGCTGGTGAGATCTCTCTACTGAAACGGCATCTTAAAGACTCACAAGCTGAAGTTACAGAGAAGATGGGGGAGGTCTTCCTGATGAAGACACAACTTCGGGAGGCAAAAGCATTAGCTAGAGAGAAAGAAAAAGAGGCAGCAGATATAAAAGCCCGTCTTCAGGCTTTTGAGGATGCCAAAGAAAAACTTTCTCCAGCTTCAGTAATGGACACCCATGGAAACCCAAAAGAAGGTTTGGAGACTGTGGACCTAGAAAGACTAAGGGCTGAGCTGATGTTGGAGAGACGGCAGAATGAGGCGCAGATCCTGAGTTTTGAGAATGAGAGAAAAATATGGAAAGAAGAAAAGGATAAAGTACTTAGGTATCAGAAAGAAATCCAGGCCAGCTACTTAGAAATGTTTTATCGTAATCAGGCTCTCGAGAAGCAGATCCAAGACCTGAGACACGTTCCAGTACAGTCTCCGAGTACTCCATCACTGTGGATGGATGCTATAGAATCATTTGAGACAACATGAAACAGAACATGCCTTGATATTACTGCTAAGCTAAAATCTGTACAGGGTGACAGAAATTTTTATTTATGTGCTGGGACAATGTGAGTAAGACTCCGTTATGCTCACAATCAGAACTGCTGCGTTCAGTGGAAATAATGGTATGGCGCCCTGAAGTCAGACTATTGTTCAACACTTGATCATCTCAAGTCAAGGAGGCAGTAGAAAACACAGTGATATTTCATAGAAGTTATGAGATCTTCTGTGGCATTATTCCTGTATGTATTGCATGGAGGAAGTTACTAACATTGATTATCCTTGGGAAGAACCCATTAATGACTTCATACAACAGTAAACACTGGATTCCAAGACTATATTGATTTATTGTCATGAGGGTATTTCCAAAATACCTCCATGAGAATGAGAACTGATGGTGTTCTTACAACTACGTGTAAAGGTCATGTGGCACATGACCTTTTGTCTGTGGCCACTTATCTTTTGTAGCTTATGGCACTATTGACAGTACTTTTACTTTTTATATGAGCTATGAAGACAAACCTATATTTTAAGGTAGAGCTTAAAGCACTGAAATGTTTAGGTGATGAAAATGTAAGGACAATTTAATGAAGTCACAGCAAAGAAAAATCAAGTAAAGGTTCTCTGATGAGCTGGCCATAGAGAGTAAAAAAATGGTGGTTAGACTTTGGTTTGACCATTGATTGTTGCTACCTTGATTCAGCAGATAGATAACCAGTAATGTGCTTTAAAGCAAACATCCTGACTCCACCCTAATTTCATGGCAAGAAAATACAGCCTTGCCAGGCCAGAAAATACAGCCTTGCAGATATTCACATCTAGAATGGTTTGCAGAGATTAGACTTAAGAAGCCCTAAAGTGGACCTGAACTGTGGATGTGGTGCCAAAAAGGCAAGCAGAGAGCAAAGCACTAGTCAACAGTATTGTAAAAATATATGGGTTAGTGCTGCACCCATATACCTTTACATACACTGAGGGGAATTGGGTATATTATTCTTTGCTGCTAGCAGCTTCCTTTGTCCACAAAGCACTGACTAGCATTTTTATTCAGTCAACAGTATTGCCTGTAGGTTCCTTGTACCTAATCTTTTTTCCTGTTACTGACTTACCGAGCCTTGCTCTGCACTTTCTCACCACCTTTCATGGAGATGGCCATGTTGGTAGAGAAGCAGGGCTTCCTTATGTCAGAGCTGCCTTCCTGATGGTGGGGTTATATTTAGGAAGCAACAGGAGGGGTGCAGAAAGCACATATCTACCAAATGATTTAACAACCAGGGAGATTCTTCAGGTCCTCAGGTACAGGTTCTGCTCTAAAAAGAACAGTGGACAACAAAGTAGTGTTATGATCAGTCAGAGGCAGCTGTGCCTTAGATGATCTCATGCAGCAGGTATACAGCTATGAGGTTCAAGCCACAGAAGTGCCTAGACACAGGAAGTACACTGCTTTTTTTAGGCAGAATTTAAGATGAAAGATTAATATGGGTACCATTTGGACACAAAACAGATTATAGCAAGTCACTCTTTGAGTTCAGCCCACTTTAACTCAAGGACAAGGGTCTTATTTTCATAGTGTGACTATTTTTTTCAAATTTCATTGGCTGAAAAAATTGTTACCTGAAAATGTTCTATTATTCCTAATACTGTATATTAGCTTTGTGAATTGAGCCTAATATCTGCTGAGATATTCTCATAGACACCTGAATAATTAAAGATTTTATCAATTTAAATAGGATTTGGTGACCAAAATCTAATGCTCATATATCCCCTAAGCCAGTCGTTCTCCACTGTCATCCTCACCCCCCTTCTTCCCCACCTGTACACATTTATCTTCCTATGTGTTATTTGACATGGAGCATCCACCTAAATATGCCTCTTGCAGTGCCACAGCACTCCCTCCCCCCCCCCCCCCCCCCCCCTTCTTTCGCATTTGAAAATCACTGCCCGGGAGTTTTTGGGCAAGAACATGGCTGATTTCACATTGCTTAGCTATGTGATTTGTGATCTTTGGAATAAAAAGCTTTATTAGTCTGACGTGACTAAGTCATTTCAACCTGTTTGACAAAGCTGGTCCTTTCTCTCTTTGGCTTTATTGGATTTAAAAACAGGTTATGCAAGAGTAACTGCATCATAAAACCTTCATGGTAAAGACTGGCCTGGAAGACTAATAATGATATCACAAAAATGTACATCCAGTCCAAAGTATTGTATGTTTAAAGTAGTACTTGACTCCAGAAATGTTACCTTCTGAAAGCTTAGTAAAAGGAGTAAAACAATTTTTTGTGTCATCTACTGTAACCTTTTTTTTCATACATTACATGGGACATTTGAAAATATCCTTGTATCTGAATTGTGCCAATCACAGGAAATTAATAAAGCTCTGATTAGCTAGCCAGAATCCAATCAATCTAATCTAGACCAGCCTTTGTGCTGCATGCGAGGACATTTGAAGGAAGGCAGAAATCTTGAACGAACACGTTGTGTGAAGTTTTCTGACCATAACTACTACAGTTTGGGCCTGTTGTAGTTTGTAGTAGTTTTACATGTTTGTGTTTTCCTTCTTGTTGTTTACTATGTTCAGACTTTAAATGTGAAGCAATTGTGTGAGATACAAAATAAATTGGATTTGTATTTCTAATTTATTAATGGCTATTTATTGTTTTATTTTGCATATCAAAAAGTACAGAAATGCTACCCTGTGAAAGTTATTGAAAAGTAAAAAGTAAAGACAATGGGTTACATATCAGTGGAGGGAGGAGGTTGAGGGTGACAAATTTTCAGCAAATTGCACTAAGATATTATGTTGTATAATATTACATTGCTCATTTCTTTTCCTTTTTTTCAAGCAGGCAGGAATGCAATGGCTTTTAATGTTACTTGTATTTATTTCAAAGGGCGGGTAATATGATTATCCACAAGCCTTATGCACATGGGCAGTACAGTGGTTAGCACTTCTTCCTGGCAGTACTAGGGTTGTTGGTTCATATCCCAACCATGGCAATACCTGCATGCAGTTTGCATGTTCTCTCTGTGCCTCTGTGGGTTTCCTCCCACACTCAAAAGACATGTTGGTAAGTAAATTGGCCTGGATATGCATATGAGTTAGGGGCCTTAGATTGTAAGATCCTTGAGGGCAGGGACTGTTGTGAATGAACGAATATAAATGTGTGTAAATTGTCAGCGCTATATAAATGTACATGCTGGTCCGTAAAGCGTAAAAACATTTTTTGGGTATCAGGGAGGCACATTTGTAGTCTGATGGACCAAAATCCACAGCACTTGTATGTGGCCAAACCACGTGTGTGCATAAGGCCCTATACATCAAGTAGAGTACCAGTATATCGTGTGTCACACACACTAAGGCTTTATATACTAAGTAGCACATACCTTCACTGCATTCAATAAGGTAAGTGAAAATTCACATTGCAAAGTCAACATGCTTTACTCCTATAGTAAATCAAACCCCTATGTTGAACTTTAACCACTTGCCCTCCAGAGGATTTACCCCCCTTCCTGACCAGGCCATTTTTTGTGATACGGTGCTGCGTTACTTTAACTGACAATTGTGCGGTCATGCAAACGCTGCACCCAAATGAAATTTACGTCCTTTTTTTCCCACAAATGGGGGCTTTCTTTTGGTGGTATTTGAGCGCCTCTGCGTTTTAATTTTATTTTTTGCGCTATAAACAAAAAAAAGACCACCAATTTTGGAAAAAAAAATATATTTTGTGACTTTTTGCTATTAAACATGTCCAAAAAAATGTTTTAAAAATCAAATTTTGGCATAAATTTAGGCCAAACTGTATTCTGCTACATATCTTTGCAAAAAAAATCCCAGTACATGTAAATTAATTGGTTTACGTGAAAGTTTACAAATGGCGGTATATATACTGGATTTTTTTTTTTCAAACTAGTAATGGCGGCGATCAGTGACTTATAGCGGGACTGCGGTGGGCATTCTGACATTGGGGGGGAACTGACATGGTGTCACTGACCTCCCCAGTGACACCAATATAGTGATCAGTGCTAGTAAAAAGCACTGACACTGTACTAATGACACTGGGTAGGAAGGGGCTAAAATGTGGGGCAATCAATGGGTTAACAATGTACTGTGTGTGTGCTTTACACTGTAAGCATACTGCTTTGTATGGCTCTGCTATGCACAACCATACAAAGCAGTGTGCAGGAGCTTACAGGGGAGAGATCTGTTTTTATACACAGGTCTCTCCCTCGTTGGTAATACTTGGCAATTGCCGGGTGCTGGTGGGGAATCACCGTCCGGGACCCAGTGATTGACAGCCGAGGCCACGAATGGTGGTGCGGGTAATGCGTGTGCGCCTCAAAACTGCAAAATCACATATATATACGTGATTTTGTGCACCGTGCCGCCCTGTAGCAGTATTTCTGCTATAGGACAGTGCATTAGTGGTTAAAGTTGTTCAGCAGCTATGCTTAAAGCGGAACTTTACTCACCTAGAATCCAGCGATGCACCAACCCCGGATCTCCCTGCTGGCCTCCGAGCCGCATGCGCATAAGTTCCATTAGATTCGGCATTGTCAAATTTGTGCAGTGAGTTGCGTTTGTACAGGGGTGGACAGGTAGATAAGATGCATTAATGCAGAAGAGGCAAAGCATGTCTCTTCTAAATTAGAAATCCTGCCTTTCCACCAATTTTTAAATCCCAGCCAAAAGTTCCACTTTAAGCATTCTTCACTATCTAATTCATGTGCTTGTTCTGGGTCAGTAACTGTGCTAGTACTGAAGCAACATCTACACTTTTTTTTCACATCTTTACACAGTGGTGTGCTTAAATGCAAGTCTGCCAAAATGAATGGCACCACAATGCGGTTCACATGTTAACACATAGGTGAATTTGGCTTGACTTCCTAGGCTCAAAGAAAGTAGTTTGATATTGAACATCAGCCAGGATAAGGAGGATGCAGAGTGCAACACTAGAGTGTGGCGAGGGTGAGTACTGCTCTTTTTCTTT